TGCAGACAGCACAGGGATGACCAGAGACTGCGGACAGCACAGGGATGACCAGAGACTGCGGACAGTACAGATGACTGCTGACCTTTGGGGAGGTGGGGAGCGGGTACCTGAATTTGACAGGTACCCGCTCTTACTTCTGCAAAGTTTTTGTTTGATCTTACCTGTTCCTCGATCCAGCCGCGCGCTGTCTTCCCGGCTTCTGTAATGGCGCTCGGCATGACAGCCGGGTGCCCAGTGCGCATGAGCGAGAAGCACTTGCGCTTTCTGATTGGTCCGGCGGCTTCTGGGATCTGTCATGTGTCCCAGGTACCGCCTTACTATTCACAAAAAGCACCGCTTCTTGCGCATGCGCACTTGGCACCCAGCTGTCATGCCCAGTGCCCACACTACAGAAGCTGGGAAGACAGCACGCCGCTGGATAGAGGAACAGGTAAGGTCCCGCTGCAGAGCTGAGCGGCCGGCCCGGTATTCTAACACGGCCGCGGTGGAAATACCGGACCGGCCGCTCCATAAGACGCACTGACATTTCCCCCCCAGTTTTGGGGGAAAAAAAGTGCGTCTTATACGGCGAAAAATACGGTAAATATTTCATCATAAATCTTGGCCAAAATGTATTCAGTTATCTTTTTAGTTAAAAAAACAAAAAACAACTCAAATTAGTTTATAACCAAAAATTTTTTACATTTTTATTTTTATTTTTTTTTTATATTATTTTTTTTTTCTACATACTGTCACCCTAGCAGTACAGTGTCACACTGTACTACTTGTGGGGGGTGATGAAATTTCTTTTTTTCTTTTTTTTTTACACTGATTGCTTTTACACTCAATGACTGTAAAAGCAATCATTTCTCCTTCTCTCTGGCTTTATTTTTGCAGCCATTGAGAACAAATTTGTGAGTTGTGATTGGTCACAGCTTGTCACATGGTACAAGACTGTTGTGAATAGCCTTCTAACATGTGACCTCTGTGATCATTCACAGATTTCACACATAGTAAGCCATGATGTCACAAGTGACATCCTGCTTACTACTCTGCATGTGATCACTGATTGGCGAATCAGTGATCACATGATCGGGACCTCGCACAGAGGTCCCGTACAACAATCGGTGTTCCACTGTGTCCGGAGGACACAGCGGGCACCGGATCGTGGTGCTGCTCGCTCCCAGGGAGATTGCACAGTCCATAATGGCGTGTGCCGTTTATGAACGGCAACCCGCCCCTGGACTGCCACCGTCCTGCCGTTTATATATACAGCAGCCGGACGCCAAGTGGTTAAGTTATAGCACCATAGAAGAAACCAACACACTCAAATAAAATAGTTGAATAATGTATTAGTACAAAAAAAAAAATAATATACATATATTTACATAAAACACAGGCAACTTAACCACTTGACCTCCAGAGGATTTACCCCCCTTAATGACCAGGGCTCTTTTTGCTACTCGGCGCTGCACTAATTCAACTGATAATTGCGCGGTCATGCAATGCTGCACCCAAACAAAATTTACGTCCTTTTTTTTCACACAAATAGAGCTTTCTTTCGGTGGTATTTGATCACCTGTGCGCTTTTTATTTTTCACGCTATAAACAAAAAAAGGCAAAACATTTTGAGGAAAAACAATATTTTTTACTTTTAGATATAAAAAATATATAGTAAATTCAAAGTTGGTTATAAATTTAGGCCAAAATGTATTCTGCTACATGTTATACAGCGCTGCGCTAGTTTAACGGACAATTGTGCAGTCATGCAAAACGGTACATAAATGAAATTTACATCCTTTTTTTTCCCAACAAATTGAGCTTTCTTTTGGTGGTATTTGATCGCCTGTGCGGTTTTTTTTTTTTTTGCGCTATAAAAAAAAAGGCTGACAATTTTGAGGAAAAAAAAAAAAAAAATATTTTGGACTTTTTGCTATAAAACATGTCCAGTAAAAAAAAAATTGAAAAATCAAATTTAGTCATAAATTTCTGCCAAAATACATTCAGCGACATGTCTTTGCTAAAAAAAAAAAAAACCCAATACGTGTAAATTGATTGGTTTACGTGAAAGTTATAGCGTTTACAAATGACGGGAAAGATACTGGGATTTTTAGGTTTTTTTTTTAATACTAATAATGGCGGCGATCAGCGACTTATGGCGGGACTGCAGCGGACATTCTGACATTGGGGGGTACTGACTTGGGGTCACTGACATCCCCAGTGACACCAATACAGTGATCAGTGCAAAAAAAAAAAAAAACACTGACACTGTACTAATGGCACTGGGGAGGAAGGGGTTAAGTTTATTATTCAGGGAAAGGGTTAACTGTGTGAAGGGAGTGCTTTACTAGGGGGCGGGGGTGTGTACTGCAGGGAACACCGCTGATCGGGAGAGAGAAACTCTTCTGTCCCGACCAGCGTGTCCTGGAGCTGCCAGGGAACTGACAGAAAGCACAGCTACTGCAGCTGTGCTCTCTGTCAGCGATTGCTGCCGATTGCCGCGACATAGCCGGTAACGACCGGCTGTGACCCGGCGACTGACATCCGTGGCTGTGATCGGTGGGACAGGTAGGGCGGCGGAGCGCCCCCTACCTGTTTTAAAAACACACATTTTAAAACGTGCTTTTGCCCAGCCATGCCGCCCTGCCGCCCTGCCGCTGTATTTCTACAGTGGCTGGGCGGCATGTGGTTTAAAAAATGCTTGGTGCATTAACAAAATGCATCATATACTGTTTTGACCACCTGTATTTATAATGTCAACTTCATACCGATGTCCCATTTCACCAATCAGTAAATGGTCAACGTGCTTCCTAGATACTTCATGAATACCAACAGCAATATGGGTAAGAAGATGTGTAATATAGATTTTCACAGGCACTGTTTATAGTCTGGTACTTAGTATGCAATCTTTCCTGGTCTACCTGACCTTGGCTTGGTATCAAGGGATCCCCGAACTTTCCACTTCTTAATATTTGATTTAACAGTACTGACTGGCATATTCAAGGCTTTGGACATCTTTTTATGTCCTATTCAATCTTTATAAAGTTCGATTACCTTGTTACGCAGGACTTTTGACAGTTCTTTTCCGATCCCCATGGCTCAGTATCTAGCCTAGTCAGTGCTTCCACGTAAGAGCTAACAAATTGATTGACTATTTATACACTGACACTAATTGCAATTTAAAAAGCCACAGATGTGGAACATTAACCTCTAATTGGCATTTTAACCCATGTGTGTCATCTTGTGTATCTGTACCAAGGACAAACATTCCAGGGTATGTAAACTTTTGATCATGGCCATTTGGGTGATTTCTGTTATTATTATTATTATTATACAGTATTTATAAAGCGCCAATAGTTCGCTCAGCGCTGTACATTACAAAGGGGGACAGAACATGTGACAGAACAATACCAATACAATGCAAAACATGAGGGGATCGAGGGCCCTGCTCTTTCGAGCTTACAATCTAGGATTATGATTTAAAAAGGAGCCAAACAACTATTTGATAATAAATGGCTTCATATGATCATCATCCTTCAATAAAAGAGCATTTTGGCATAATCAGTCATATTAGCAATATCAATGCCAAAATTTCACAATTTCTGCAAGGGTATGCAAACTTTTGAGCACAACTATATATAAATATAGTATATATATATATAGTTTTATATATATATATATATATGTGTGTGTGTGTATTGTTATATATGTGTGTATATAACAACAGTCATTATGTTGTAGTTTTTTGTTAGGTTTATGGCCATGTCTCCTGAGGGTGTTTATATTTAACATTTAATTAAACAAATGGGCATTTCTTCTAGGCAATTACTTTTTAACCATCATGTTCTACCACTTAATCATTAATAAAAAAAAAAAAACTGACCTCTGACGCATTACCTTCATCATAAACACCATGAAACATTCCATTTTTTTTTATTTCACACAATTAGAATAATATAAGGCTCAACGCTGAAAAATCTATGCATAGACTTTGTTTTGTACTCCATGGAACCTAATTATAGAGGATATTGAGCAGTTCAGTCCCATCATAAGTGATAACTGCCATGCAAAGTTTTAAGAACCCCCTTTTGTAATTCTAGCAGTCAGCACAGAGCATCTGGTACAAGAGACACTGCTCTGCAAATGAAAATGTAAAGTGCGTGTGGCATACAATTGGTGGCCTGGCCCGACAGAAAAAAAAAAAAAAAAAACACATGGATATGGATAATGCTATGCTAGTATATTTTTATGTAAGGGATGGTGGCAAGTTGTCTTGATTTGGTCCATCCTTTTTGCAACTGAAAGCTGGTTGAATGTGGGTAAATTTATTAGAAAATTGCTCTATACATGTTCAGTATTAGCCATGTCCATTCTACACAAATCTCCGTTTCCTCAGGATTGCTGGTACACCATGACACAGACTACAAAGCATTCATCATGACAGCTCCAGACAATCCATCCAGTCTGTGACACACCAGACTGACTTTATATCAACAAGCAGGAACAAAGAATGTACACAGTGCTGTAACTGGGATCTGGCATATTACAAATCCCTGCTCAGAGCTTCTGCTAAAAAAATTATGTTTCAGCACTTCAAGATCACTCAGTACTATACTCACTTTACACCACAGGCAGCTTAAATGTCCACACAATATCCACACTATTACACAGTGTCTTCCTAGCCATCTGCTTATCATGTACAATTGTATCTGTTAAAAAACTACTACTCTAAGCATAACGGTCATGCTGGAAAATGCAGTCCAACAAAAAATATGAAAAACCTTTACACTGTGTTATGAGGCAACACCAACCTTCCTTTTACTCTGACTTGCTATGAAAAGTATGCATAGAAAGCAGACATTAACATGCTGCATCCACTCTGACTGCAATAAACATAATTCAGGGACCTCTGCAAGTGTCTGTTTTATACCAGCAATATAAGCGGTGTGGCTGGAAAGACGGAAGCAGAAATTGGATTGCATTTCTCATCTACTTTACATTTGCTGCCGCAGACTTCTTACCTCAGGTGACCCACAGCTTTGGTTCTGACAAGTGACAGGATGATATAGTCATTCTGTTGTCCCTGGAACCGATCCACGGTTGTGACCTGCAAATACGCAAAATATAAACATCTAGTTTTTAGAGGGCAAAGCTCTAACTTGATGTACAGAATTATAGCCTCAGCAAGTTATATAGACAGAAGCTGTTATTTATTTTAATAGGAAAAAAAAAAATATATGACAGTGATTTACAGCTTACCTTACTTGGCTGTCCTATAACATGGTTGTTGCCGCAGCGCTGGTTGATGATGTCACGGATTAAGTGCTTTTGTCCATTGTATGTGGTTAGGATACTGATCCGATTGGCAGGATATCCAAGCAGACGCATATACATAAACAAAGCTACTGCATACTCTGCTTCAGCCAGATTCTACAATTTAGAGAACAATGAGTTTTAGAGTATTTGTAAATGCAATTTAAGACATTTCCTTAGATAAGGATGCATTCTATGGTGTAATATAGACTATTGCTGTGCAAACACAAGATATTAATTGTGCCTTTGGAGTCAATGCATCACTATACCTTAACTATAAAGACACATTTATTGCATTTGCACTTTAAAATATAGCAGTAACATTACCTGGTAAAAGTATGGGTTGGGTTCAGACTCTCCGATTCCATTAAAATCATCTACATTTATAAGCTGGAAGTCATAAAGCAAGCCAGCGTTGGCAGTTCTAAACTCTGGCATCAACTGCACGTGAGGCAGATTCCCCAGACTCTTATAGCGCCAATTATACAGATTGCACAAGCTGCAAAAAAGGAAGAGAGATCACACACCTACATACAACAGGTTCCAAATGTAGAAGAACCCCTGTGCTAAAATCAAAATCATCTCACCTGGCTCTGGCTCTTCCTTGGGCATCAAGGTCAACAGTTGGCACTCCTAGCCGCACAAACCTAGTAAAGAGTGACTGCTCCATGTTGGAGTATTTCTGAAAGGCCATATTCTTAATGACAGGTGGCAGCTGGTGGTGGTCTCCAATCATGATCCAACGTTTCAACCGACTAAAGCCATCCTCTGGATTCTGTGCATGGAAAAAATGCAGGGATTGGCCAAAATATTATTAGTATTAAACAGTATAAACAATGATGAGCTTGTTCAATTGATAATAATCTAAGGAAAATTGTTATAAATTGGTAAAATAAATACCATTACCAAATAGAGAAAGCAAAAGTTGCCTTGATCCCAGTCATTGACACCATAAACAGCAAAAAGGTTAACCTCAGGAAACCAATTGCAGTATATTTATGAGAGTAGAGTAGAAACTCTCCAAAAGTACAGTTATTATTTTTTATAAGAGTTGAAGACAGAGGTCAGAGCGCTGTACTGTACCTGCAGGAGGAGGGGGATGAAGGTCTCAATTTCAAGAATCTGAGCAGCTTCTTCCATCAGGATGTTATCGTACTGCAGAGAAAAGACAGGAACCAAGAGTCAGCAAGTATGCAAGGCAACTTCAAGGTGACCGTCTGCAGACTATGTACAAAACTGTCTGGAACTGCAAAATATCTGGGCCAACAACAAAATAAAAAAAAGTTGTCTTGTGGCTAAAACAATAAGCTGTGCCAAAAAATGTCTCAATGAAACAATATTAGAGCACATGGTACAGAATGTTGCAGCTGAAAATCAGCATGCATATGACATTTTCTAAAGCTAATATAATAACACCTTGTAAAAATACCTTGAATCCTAGATCCACTAGGTCATGGCGCTTTAGAGCTGCATGGGTGCAAGTCATGGCGATGATCTTGGCTTCCTTCACAAGAAGGTATTTTGAGCGATCCAATCCACTACGCAACAATTCAAAAGCTCGAAATTCCTGCAAAAGAAGGTGTTCAGCTTTATAATGACCTGTACTGGCTCTCCCACAGGTATACCTGTCCTTATTTCAAATGTGCTAAAGCAGCCTTTCTCTACCTTTTCAACATAGGGGAACCCTTGAAAATCTTTTCTGGCTTAGGGAACCCCTGCTAAAAATTACTATATCTACAACTCATGATACATTAGTGTGACGGTCAGTGGGAAGAATACTCCTTACCCTTGTGATCATTGGGAAGAATTACCCCCTTACGGATTGCTAAAACAATCAATGGTGTCAATGGGAAGTTATCTGAGAGGCGGAAATTGCTCACTGCACAAGGAACCCCTAGCAACCTCTTGAAGAACCCTAGGGTTCCGTAGAACCCTGTGCTGAAGTGTCAGTAGCACTGAGGTGTCAGCACATGATTCATAATATCTTCACAAGTGTACTTGGAGCTCCAAACAATACGTCACTTGCTGAAGTTGGAGCTTTGGCTCAAGCTCTCAATATTGGTCCTGCTAATTGAAGAGCAGCCTCAGTGGGCAAAATTAAGGCACAAAAGGCAGAATAGGGAAGCCCAGAGGTCACACCTTGGATCCAATGTCACCATTTATATGACCTATTCTGTGATGCAATTTCACAAGCAAATGGTTTCATTATAAAATATCCAGAGCCATAGAAACCCTTTATGATAGGATAACCAGCCTCTAACCAACAGCTTTTGACCCAGTAAAATTGTTGGGGTTCAAACACACTGATTGTCAACTGATTGCCATTAAAAAGACACTGATCACCGAACATTGCAGAGCTGCAAATCTCAGGTATGTTATATTGCTTTTGCACAAGCAATTTTTAGCTGTTCATGAAAATAAACTGTATCGGTCTTAAAGAGCACTCACTTCTAGCTGAGTAAATATTTTCTTGATGTGACGGAAACATCCTTCTGCAATTTCCATATCTTCCACATAGGTTCGGCCTTTGAAGATAGGCTGAGGGGCATTGGAGAAGTACTGGTGGAAAGGGAATACCTTGGCGATATCATTCGTGTCAGGAGTTTGAGCAGATTTGCTTTTCACTTTGCTCAGATAGGCCTCCCACCGTGACATTATCTGCAAAGACATTCAAAAGTAATGCCATTGTGAAAATGCTGAAATTGAAATGGATTAAATGTCTCACTCAAAGACTACTGAATTCCTGCTTGGGGTAATACCAGAATCATCTTCTACTAGCACAGTACTTTAACCATCTAGATGTAAATGCATTGGTTTAAGTTGGATAAGCAAATACTATTTAAAATGAATTTAAATAAATAGTATACTCTACAAAGTCCTTAGGGGCCATAGTGCTTAAATCAAAACCCTATTATATTTATGTGTTATTTTTTGATTAACTGTGGGTAACCTAAATCCTGTCTGGGGTCCCTGAATGACAGCCAAAAATTACAATATGGAGTACAAGCTCCCCGTCTTTCAAATACAGCATTCCCCCACTTAATGGTTATTGGGACTCAGGGAAAATGGGAAAAGGGGATACAGACCGTACTATCATATTAGGCAGAGTACCTATCTGTAATATATGAATATATATATATATTTTATATATATATATATATATATATATATATATATATATATATATTATATATATTTTTATATATATTATATATATATATATATTTTTATATATATATATATATATATATATATATATATATATATATATATATATATATATATATATATATATATATTATATATATATATATATATATATATATATTTTATATATATATATATATATATATTTTATATATATATATATATATATTTATATATATATATATATATATATTTTATATATATATATTATTTTATATATATATATATATTTTTATATATATATATATATTTATATATATATATATATATTTATATATATATATATATTTTATATATATATATATATATATATATATATATTTTATATATATATATATATATATATATATATATATATATATATATATATAAATGTATTACTTTAGGTTTTGTACCTGATATGGTATTCCTGTCAAGTAAATAAGTAAGGAACCTAGGAAGTCGCCCCTTCAGAGATCCCTTGGTCCCAGCAGGTTCCCTTTACTTCTCAGCATGAGGAGGGAAGAGTGAAGAAATAAAAGCCTGTGCCATACTCTGTATACACCAGTAAGGGTATGGGAAAGCTCTGAACCTTTTTTTGTTATAACTATAAGATTTGATAATCCACTTGATGCACCACATTGATCATGTGATACTACACACTATAAGGTGATGAATCAGGCCCCCGACCTATACCCCAGTATTACTGCGATTTACTTTAGGATAGACTGGAAACTGCCAGCTCAACTGAAAGATTAATGAGTCACTTACCTGATACAAAAAGAAATGGCCGGCCGTCTCACAGGTATAAGACACATCTCCAGGAACCCCCAAACTCTCCTGCAGACGCCCAACTTCCTTAAGCAACTCCAGCCGCCGTGCTAACACATAATTTACTCTTCCATACCTGGCAATATGGATACATTGTTACTGACGCACTTATAATGATTTAACACAGGAAAATCATTACGTCATAAGTGTCATAGTGTAGTGCAGATGCACACAGACTAAACTGCAGTACCAGTTGTACAAATCAAATAAAATACCAAGTAGTTTTTACTTAAAGTGTATGTATAAACAAAGCATTTTTTTTTTTTTTAGTTTTGAGTAGGTGAGGCTTAGAATTACAAGATAGATAGATTTACCCTATTTATTTGTCTTGATGACTATCACCATCAGAAAGTGATGGCAAATCCAATATTATTATTATTATTATACAGTATTTATATAACGCCAAAGGGTTTGCTCAGCGCTGTACAGTAGCAAGGGGGACAGAACATGAGACAAGACGGTAACAATACAATACACGAGGGGTTCGAGGGCCAAATATTTACAGTTGTCAAGAGAACAGGTAAGAGGGAATCTTCCAACTGGGAACACCTGTTTTAGCGACAACTAAGAGAAGTTCCCCTCTATTTGTAGAGATTTCCTCATAATTTCTATTACATCTTGGGGACAGGAAGCAAATCTCCCCAATGCAACAACACCAGCAAACAAACAGGAGTTTTAGCAATTTCGTGCACCATCAAAAAAGAAAAAAAAAAAAACACTTAATTTACAGTTTAAGGAAGAAAAAAAACAAAAAACTAAAATCTACTGGGTAACAAATAGTTAAGTGTGATGAGGTGTATGGCATCTCCTGGATTGCTGGAGGTTCGTTACAATTTATACTTTTATTTGCGAAGGGGGTGTGGGTGGAAATGACAGTGTGGCATGTGTATAGGAGGACTGCAGGCAATTGGAACACCAGAAGTATAATAAAAGTTATACTCTTGGGTGACTCTCTTACCTGTCCAATACGCTGTACTGCATATAAAGTCCAGGCTTCGCCTGTCATGGTGGGCATACTCACCAAAAGGTTCTCAGGGTCCGGGTTCCATAGGGATGGACCACAGTCCTTGACCTGCATAACACCCTACAGCTGACTACAGTCTGTTGCACTAAGTGCCAAGGTGAGTGCCCCTGCAGGATATGTGCCTGAAGTAACATTGCAGGCTGCTCCCATGGTGCAGGGGGTCCAGGTACTGTTTTACAAAGGCTGTGCCAATCTGGAGGCACTGCTTCTATCTGTTGTATTAGAATGCAGTGAAGAGACAATCCAAAGATAAAAACAATAAAAGAATAAACTAGTTAAGCCAAGGAATTCTGCAGAAGATTTAAAAAAAATAAATTTGTTTTTTTTTCCTGAAGCTCTTCTTTAAGATATGACAAGAAGGAGGATGCTTAAAGTATAACTGAAGCAAAACTTTTATTTTTTTAATATTGGACAGAGTGGAGCATCAATTAAGTTTTTACTGCAGTCTGTCCCCTCGTAGGGAGATTCACCCTCTCCATTTGTCCTGTTTGCCATTGCCATTGAAAGTGAAAGTAAAATAAAACCCCACATTTTGGGTTGTTCCCAAAAAAGTATTAGTAGGGAAATTTTTCAATGGGGACACTAGTTCTGGTGACCTGGGGGTCCTCAATGAATTCCCTTAATTTGAAGGGATTTCCTCTCACTTCCTGTTTTGCATTTGGGACAGAAAAGTAAATATAAGTCTACTAAATAAAAAAAAAATAATTAAACAAATTGCCTATAGTTCTACTTTAAAGTGGTTATAAACCCAAAACACCATTCTTTTGCAGTTTAGTAGACAATGTTGTTATAACCTAATTCACATTGTGTGTATCTCTCAAAAAGCAACCCTCAAGCTGTCGTAGCTCTCAGAAATCTGCCAATCTGTGGATGTGCCTGGTGATGGGGGGGGGGGGGGGGGGGGGGGGGGGGGGTTGTTAGCCAGAGCCCCAACATCACACACTATTCCCCTCCCACCTAATCAGAGTCTCTCTCTGATGTCTCTCTCTTTCTGTATGCTCCACTGACTCTGTGAGCTTTGTACCTGGATTTCTGGAAGGTAAGAGAGAGCAAATTGGAAGTAAACCCGGCCCTGATCACAGGCATGTGTCTCATTACACACGCTGTCAAAGGGAAAAGGGTGTGGCGTCACCATTTTTTTCCTGGCGTCAGGTTTTTTTTTTCCCCTTAAATCAGGAGAGCTGGGAGGATTACAGATGACAGGCTGTTCTACCTGCCATGTTGTGCACAAATGATTTGAGCCCTTGTTCTTTATCAGATTTAGTGTTCTGTTTGTATTTGACTTTCAAGGTTTACAACCACTTTAATTTTTTTTCTTGCTCACAGAAATGTGGAATTCTAAAGTTTGCTTGCATCAACCACTACATTAAACTGCAGTGTACCTTTTAAAGCAGCATGGAGAACATATTCCATAGGATAACAAACAGTGCAAAGATAAAAGAAAAATGCATACAATGCCAACCAGACGTACGTATTCTGTAGTCAGATCAGTGGATGATGGTGAACTGTTTTCTGAACTGAATACGCCTGATAACATATAAGGTACACCAGCACAGTAACAAATGTTTCTGACACTCAGGATATTTATAGCAAGATGTGATAGGATTTTCCTCGTATAATGTACAAATGTACTTTCTGCTTTCCTGAGTTTCGTATTCAGTTGCCTCCAAGGCGGGGAATGGAAAAGAACTGGCACAGAGTATGGATTCAATGAACACTTTGTGGATCAGTCACACAGGCACTCAGCATCCAACAAGATAAACGTCCTACTGCCTTGCTTTTTATCCTGAATCCAGTTGCCATAAATGTGACCAGCTTCCCTTTTCTATGTGAAAACACAACTTAAAGCAAACAAGATATGGGCACAAACAATGCTTCTGTGTATAAACTGCTTCAGTTATTCTCTTTCAATGAGCCCTCTTGGACATTGGAATAATATCACCAGACTGTTGTATTTTAACTGCAACCTAACAAGATTGGCAGGAGAGTTATGGTAAGGCATAGCACACCTAATGCAGAAAATGTCAGTCAGGAATGTCCTGTGAAGCATCTCTGACCTTGTCCTCTGTTGTCTTTATTTGGTCACAAACTTTTCTTTGGCTTTAAACGTTCTCTTTGGCTCACTGAGACAGTAATTTGAGTTTTCCGGTCCTTGTGTCAAATAAATTTGACATCAAATGATAAATTGTATGCTACTGAGAACTGCATTAGGACAATACAAGGATTTGAATTATACAAAGCAAGGCGTTGCAGCAATACCCACAGCAAGCAATCAAAATTCAGCTGTGTGTCTGAATAATATCATCTAGCTATTAAGCTACATACACCATGGTGTAAAATTAACCCCACAGATCACCTGTGTATACAACTGTTGTCAATGATACAATTTATGCATGTATGTAAATACATTTTAAAAAGACGATTTATTCATCAATATTAAATTTATGGAGATATTCTTTAGAAAGATTTCACGAGCAATTCAGATTTTGTATAGAATCTGTAAATAAAGTTATCATTTAGTGGACCTTGGACATTACAGGGTTAACCAAGGATTCAACTTGTGGCTCACCTGCTAAAATCCTTCTCAGTCTCCAGCTCCTCCTCACCGTGGCCCAGACGCAGGAGGTGCCTCTCGTCAATATCTAGGGCCATAATCTTCTCAAACAGCTGGTTTAGGGCCTGTATGTAGATTGATAGGGACAGGAGGAGAAGGGTATTTAGAAACTGCTGGTTGGTGTTCTAGGAAAAAGGGGGTTGGCAGATACAGACTGAAACAGCAAACTGGCTAATCTTCAAAGCTGAAAGACACAACAGGCAGTCCTTTGCAGCACTTCGAAACATTGATACATTACCCATCCACAGTACATGGATATCCATTGATCAAAAGTCAATAGCAAACTATCTATCCATACAAATATTTAAAGGCTTATTTTGCATTTTTGCATTCAAAGCAACGTGTTTGTTCTATAAAAATGCCTTTTTTTATTTAATCAATTAAATAATCTTGCACGCTTCTATAGATGACAACTACACCTCTAATAAATCACCCCAGTGTTACTTAAATAAAATACATAATATAACCAAAAAGAATGTGCTTTTTCAAAATAAGTAGCCGCTAATGCACCCAAACCTTATCTCATATCAGGAATAACTTATAAACGCAGTGCTACAACAAAATAAATTACAAAATGGTAAATCACAGAAATACAAGTGTGTGAATAAGTTCATTTATCTTCATTGTAATACTTCCATCCTTCTTTCCTTGTGTAAACACCGAGTGCTCTAAACCAGAAAAGTCCAAATACTCGGCCACCAGATGTCTACTCGCCTCCAGCAATGTGGCCTCACATAATGTTATGTTTGGGCTAACTGCGCTTTTTGTCCCAGTGTGGACGCTGAAGTTCAACTTGATGGACCGCAACTTGATGGACTGCATTACAATGAGGATTAATGAACTTATTCACACACTTGTATTTCTGTGATTTACAATTTTGTAATTTATTATGTTGTAGCGCTGCACTTATCACTGCATTTATATGCATTTTTAATTTACTAAGAAGCTTTTCAACACTTTTATTACGCAGTTGTGAAATGTTTTATTTTCCAACGGGAAGGATACTCTAGAGGGGGGAATTTACTAAAACTATAGCAGGCAGAATCTGGAGCAACTGAGCAAAGCAACCAATCAGACTCTAACGTCAGCTTGTTTAGTTAACTATTTGCCTACCGGGAACTTTCACCCCCTTCCTGCCCAGGCCAATTTTCAGCTTTTAGCGCTGTCACACTTTGAATGACAATTGCATTGTCATGCAACATTGTACACATATGACATTTTTATAATTTTTCACACAAATAGAGCTTTCTATTGGTGGTATTTAATCGCCATTGAGGTTTTTATTTTTTGCACTATAAACAAAACAAGAGCAAAAAAGGTTCTTTGTTTCTATTATAAAATTTTTCAAACAGGTAATTTTCCTCCTACACCAATGTGTGTTGATGAGGCTGCACTGATACACAGCACTGATGGGCACTGATAGGTAGCACTGATGAGGTGGCACTCGTGGGCATTGATGAGGAGGCACTGATAGGCAGCACTGACAGATGGCACTAGCACTGACGGGTGGCACTGCTGGGCACTGACAGGCGGCAATGATGGGTGACACTGCTGGGCGGCACTGATAATCAGTGCCCTGATTATCAGTGCAGATCTCCCCTATCACATTTGCCGGTTACCAGCAGTACTTTCCTCACGCTGTGATAGCATGAGGAAAGTGCTGCCAATAACCGGCAACTGTATTTACCCGGTGATCTGCTGTGTCATTTGACACAGCTGACCACGTGGTAAAAGGCTGCTGTGATTGGCCTTTTACCTGATCACATGATCAGCTGTGTCCGTAGGAGATAGTGGTCACCGACAGCGCCTGGCGCGCCGCTGGGGGCCTGTTCTGGGAGGACGTCCATGGACGCCCTCCCAGACCTGGACAACCACACTATAGCTGAAAGACGGTTGAGAAGCAGTTAAAGGATCAGATCACTTTTTAACAAAAAAGAAGTGCACATTTTTTTGCAGGTAAAAAAATTTGCATTTTATTGTTTGTTTTAGGAGCCTAGAAAGCACTGAAACAGTAATCAGCAGATCGCTGGTGCCATGCAGGTCTCCTGCACATTGTGTGTAAGCTGTCTAGTTTGTAAATCGTAAGAGCAGGCAGTTTTAGCACTGATTACTGTATTGGTGTCACTAGGGATGTCAGTGACACCAAGTCAGTTCCCCCCGTGTCAGAATGTCTGCTGCAGTCCCGCTATAAGTTGCTGATCGCCGCCATTACTACGCCAAAAAAAAAAAAAAATTTTCAGTAGATATACCACCATTTGTAAACGGTATAACTTTCACGTAAACCAATTCATTTAAATGTATTGGGATTTTTTTTTTTAGCAAAGACATGTCGCAGAATACATTTTGGCCTAAATTTATGCCGAAATATGATTTTAAAATTTTTTTTTTACTGGACATGTTTAACCGCTTCCGCACCACCCTATAGTGGAAATACTGCTATAGGGTGGCACGGGTGTGCAAAATCACGCATATATACGTGATTCGCGCTCCCCGCGGTTTTCGCACCCCTGCAGATAGCGCCAGATTTCCCATCAGTACACCGGTAATCACATTTAACCCCTTGATTGCCAGGAACATGCTCACATACACAATAAACCTCCATTGCTAGTATAGTGTCTGAATGGATCAATATTGTTGATTAGATCAGTACTATACCAACGTTCACATTAGTATAGTGTCCCCAAATAAACGCAGTATTAGCGGGATCAGCCCTGGCACCTGCGTTTAGCCCCTATGCTTACCCCCCCCCCCCCTCTCCCCCAGCAAATGCAGTGTCAGTAGGTCACTGTCACTTGATACATTGCACACAAAACCACAGTGTTTGCAGACTCAGGCCTGATCTCTGCTACCACTTGCTGGTAAATTTTGATGACTCTCATATGCAGCAGAGTGCCAGTACTAGTGCCGCTCTACCTTTTGGTGAACTGGCGAGCACCAGCGGCCTAGTACATCCTGATCTTTCACATAACAGCACTGTGCTTACAAATCCCGACTGGCAGCCCACAAATTCTGCAGCACCCATACTTTCCCCATTCACTGCCCAATCCAGAATTCAAGTGGAAACAGCAAATTTAAATACCCACCTTGATTTTTTTGGAGCTGTTTTTCACAGAAGATCTGTATGCATTGATTGTGGATCAAAGCAATTTATATGCACAACAGTTTATCGCTACCAACCCAAATTCAAACCTTGTCAGACCATTTGCATGGAAACCCTTTGCGGTCTCTGAATTGAACATTTTTTGGGGGGGCCTAACCCTCAACATGGGCATTACTAAAAAAAAAAAAAAAAAAAAAAAAAAAAAAACGAACTGCGGTTGCATTGGTCCACAGACCCGATTTTTCATCATATGCCCATGTTCTCTGCTGCCATGGCCAGGCATAGATATGAGAGTATAATGTGTTTTATGCATTTCAATGACAATACACTATGTCGTCGTCAGGGTGACCCTGAATTTGCTCCACAAAATTCGGTCCTTTATAAGTCACCTTAACCAAAAATTGCATAGGTCTCGATTCCCCAGCAAAACATCTGCGTTGATGAATCCCTCATTAATTTTTCTGGCCGCCTTGCATTCAAACAATTTCTCCCCAGCAAGGATGCCAGATATGGGGTCAAGATATATAAGACCTGTGAGAGGGCAACAGGCTATACATATAAGTTTTGGATTTACAAGGGAAAATGGAGCCACATGGAGCCCCCCCGGATGCCCAGACTACATGGGGAGCAGTGGCAAGATAGTTTGGGACTTGGTGTCATCCTTTTTTCATATGGGGTACCACTTATACGTGGACAATTTTTATTCAAGCGTGTCACTATTTAGATATTTGTCCAGTCTTGAATTGGCACATGTGGCACCATGCGACCTAACCGCCGGGGCTTCCCCCAACAGCTTGTAAATACCCATCTTAGAAAGGGGGAAAACGCCTGCTTGATAAATTAGGTTGTCATTCAGCTGCAGCACTGACTTGTTTATTCTGAGAGCAACAGGGTCTTGCTCTCAGAATATACATAAGTAGGTGTGTGCACTGCTGTTGGATGAGATTTTGCATCCGCAGTTAAAAAAAAAAAAAAGAGCATATATGCCGAAGCATGGGGGTCTGGGGTGGCCAGTGGGTGGATGGCCCCTATATTTTATAATATTTTTTGGCACATTTCATGTGTGCCCACCATTAGAAATGGGTGGATGCATGGCGGTATATTCTAATGGTGGGCATACCATACACTTTGTCTGGCAGAGATTTCTTCTTTTTCATTCATCCCACAGGCTACATAAAAAAAAAAAAAAAAAAAAAAGAACATAGCATATACACCTGCACACAGGTTTTTTACATTCATGCATAGAATGCATAAAGGTAAAAAACCTTGAGCCTTTAGAACCACTTTAAAGCATGGATCAGCAGTAAAGTGCCAAGTCACCGCGGCACCAAGATGATGTTTTGGCTCATTCACAAGCAATCAAAACATTTGCATCCTACTTCTTTTCATATTTATCGGACATCTGACATGTAGAGATCCTGGGTTTTAGGCCTATAAAAAAATGGTGAAATAACAAATATGTACAAAGAATGGGTTTTTTTTGCACTTCTATCAATCCTTATAATGCATCTAGGCAGTTTCTCCTCTAGTGTTAATGAACACAAAATTGTGCCTTATAAAGAAGCACAAACACATGTGAACATGCATGCAATCACATGTTAGCAATGGCCATCACTGCATGTGTATGGTTGTAAAAGGCTTCTTAGGAGCTTATGGACAGTGCTGGCCAACAGTTCATTTAGAAAAATGTAAAGGTTTTAAAAGTGACATGTTGTGTTCATAACAAATATAGTACAGCAATAACGGAGCAGATGCCTAAAGCATATACAGCCCTGCACCTTACATACAGATAAAGTATATATGAATCAGTATGGAACTGTTAAAAACACAGTTATTTCTTCTTTGATCCATTGATGCTGCAGAATACAATGGTAATTCACAAGCTGCATATTTAGTTTAAACCTGCAGGATCTCAGATTGCTACATAGCAATAGTAAAGCCAGTTTTGGACAGTGAGAATTAGACTAGTTATTTGCAGGGGAATAGCAAGCACTGGGAGGAGAAGAGAGTCACTATTAAACTATTTATCCCTCTTATGGGCAGGGTAGAACATATGGGACACCACCATTAGATGAGAGGATGGGACCAGCTGTGGTGACTGGAACCTGAGATCACAGGGGGTAAAAACAACTATTACACTAAGACAGAGCGAGACATACCATAGAAAGAAGTGATCTAAACACACAGTGCAGTATTCAGACGGCATGCCAGGATCAAATGGCCCAAGAGCTTCTACAGGCAATGCTGTGTACATTGAGAAACAACTTTACTCCCATGAATGACTATACAACAACCCTATAGAAAAGCATTAGGCTATCGCACACTGGCCAATTTTTGTCAACGATGCAAAAAACAAAAGAAGAGGAGAAACTAAAAGCAACAGTGCCCATGAGTGATATTTTAAGGAGAATTCTCAGTTAATCCTCTGAACACTGCTATTCAAGCTTACATATAAGTATTGGTTTGCATATTTTGCAATACACATCCAAACTTGCTAAAGGCAGTACCACTGAAAACTATAAGAAAAAGTGGGCTCTACTGCTTTTGAAAATAACAACTCCCTAACTTAGTACTTTACGTCAATGACCTAGAGCATGTGTGCAACAAATAAAATTCGAATGCTGCGTCTGCATACTCGTCTTGGGTTCATGAATCACAAACTACTGAATCCACTGGATCAGAAGGACAGTCAACCAACTAGCATTTTCAAGAGGAGATCAGAATTTGGCAGCCTGAACATCTTTCATGAAAGGTTTTCTTTAAGCTTGGGTAATGAGATGCGAACATTTGATAAAACTACACCTTGTCCTTCCGTTCTAAAAAAGGATACTAGGCAGGGATTTGGAAGGATAGATATCACTTTACTCAGTACTCTGTGTAGCTTGTTAATCACCGAAAAACCATTGCTGAGTGTCCAGACAAAGGCGTAGGATTGGTAAACCACCTTTCCCTAGTAGATATTCTCTATATGGTCATTAAAGTGGAGTTCCACTCACAGTGTAAAGCAAAAAAAACTGTAGCTGATGACTTTTAAAAAAAACAGCCACTCACCTGTCCCACGATCCCACGGTGTCCTCCCCGCAGCCCGTTTTTACCGACTGTTCGGTGTTCCAGGCGCCGGCAGTGTGGGCACCCGGTTGTGACAGCTTGCGGATTCACAGCCTGGTGCCAACTGCGCATGCGCGAGTAGCACTGCGCTTCCTGAATGGCCCCGTAGTCTTCTGGGACTCGTCACATGTCCCAGAAGACTACGGGGAGGGTGGGTAGGAGGACAACTTACGCTTCCATTCGCCTAGGAGATACCAGCGGAAGTGGGAGTGGGTACCTGTCAATTTCGGGGTACCCGCTTCCCCCACTCCCCAAAGGTGCCAATCCTTAATAGGGAGCGAGGGACCAGTCTTAAATGCAGAACTTCCCCTTTTGGGTGGAACTCCGTTTTAACAATAATCAGACAACCGTGTATTCACAAAGTCTAATGAATCCTAATTGGCAGCACAACTATTTTCTTCAAGCATGTTGATTACAGATCATCCCCGTCTCCCCACAGTAAAGACAAGGAGTATTTCACTGCAAATGAGTTCAAGCATGAAAATTGTGGTGGGTTTACTGATGGTTTAGCATAAGTAGATCTCTCCTCTCCCGATTAAACCAATGACAGATCATTTAGCTCAAGCACAGCAAACGGCTAATACGTATATATGCTCCAACAAAGCCGATCCATCCTCTGTGTATTTACAAGCCTTACCTGGTTAGAATGAGTGACTATAAGGGTCCTCTGCTCTGGAAAATTGTGGTAAAGATTGGAAATTATCTGCACGGCCACATCTGTTTTGCCTGTGCCAGGGGGACCAACAACCTTTAAAAAAAGTGGAATGAAAGCTCTTTAGAGATCGGTTATACACCAAGAAGCAAGTAAAATGTAGATGAGAGGCCCAAGATAGACCATATTCCAGCTGTCATTTCTCTAAGGTGGATTAGAACGTGAGAGCTGACACTTGGCTTGATTGCTAAGAGTAATAGTTCCACTTTTCTTCATGCAGTGTATAATTATCTGCGAATTATCAGAACATTCCAACACCAACTGAAACACCTAACATGCTTAAAGCAAAATATTACAATACAGAATAGAAGGACGACTATGTGGTTGGACTCTAACTTGCTGGATGGCTCTATGCAACCACTGTGTACTATTTCCCAACGTGAGTTACATATTCTCTATGCAAATTTCCTGTGTTGGTGCAACATTAATTTTCTATGATTGTGTGTGTTACTTTGCTATCTCACAATACATCTTCTGTATGAAAGTTGTCAGTAACTTTATACATAACCAGCAAAGATCATGGCATATAGCACAGCGTAGGGTGTAAGCGTACATTGGCTATATCATATCTCCCTCTACTGGAAAGATATGTCACTGCATCCTGTCAAACACACTTGAATCTGCTGTGGCAGAAAGCAGAGATGTGGAGGTTGTTCATGCACCTGTGTTTACAAGTCATAATGAAAAGAAACAGACTCAGCAGCAGGAGGTAATAGCCCCGTGTAAAACAGAACAGAGCACGGCAGAACCCCATACAGCTACTGAACACCATTAACTGCCTTCATACAGTAATGGTGTACAGATGTAAAAACAAACAGCTTAAGGTTGCCTCAGGGTTCTAAAGAAAGAGGAGAAAGTCTTCATAACGGCATTATGTAGACAGTTTGTGCATTAGTCCATATATATGAACCCAATCCTTTACTCATCGCCCTTCTCGCTACTTCTCCAAAAGGTCTACACACACACAGCAGATTTCTTGTTTCATGAATAATTCATTATAGAAAATGATCATAAAGGAAATTCTTCCACTGTCTGAGCTCTTCTTTGCTTCAAGCTTCTAGATAAAGTATGTATATGTGTCCATCACATAGGTGGCTCTCTGTGGATTGTAAACTTTGCAGGCAATCTGCCATTTGCTTTGTGACGTTTGTGATTTCTATTATACAAGTCCTGGCAACTGTAAATGTAAAACAGCAGCAAGAGTTCACACTAGGGGTCCTCCGTGCCGTGATCATATCTGGACGTCTTGTGTGGTACTTTACTTTTAAAGAGACACAATCAAATTACACTTATCAGGCTGCTTACGTACATAAAGTGTTTGAAATTGGCACTTACCAATGTGGCCACTGCTATAGAAATTCATTATTCTTTTGTCAGTAATGGCCCTGAAGTTTTCTTTTGGCTGCATCACATGCTGCATTTTGAAGTAAGCCCTGTACTGGCCCTGACATCACCAAGGTGGCTGCTTGTTGCTTGTGGGAGAGTGCCTGCATGTTATCCTCGATAGCAGTCAATTTAGATGTTCAGACTCAGATGACTTACAGAGTGCTGGAGGCTTCACAGGCAACAGCCGGACACCCTAATGGGCCAGAAAGGGGGAGGGAAGAAGCAAGCAGTGCAGGCTGTCCATAAGTGTCAAGAGTTTGATGACAACTACAGGGCTGCTACTGACAAAAGGCACAATGATTTGCTATACCAAGGGCACCATCAGCAAGTGTTTATTGTTTTATTATTTTATATATGTAAACAGCATAACAGTGTTTCTTGATGACAATATCTTTAAGTACCATGGGGATTTCTGCAGGCAAACTCTTTATAATGTATTCACTATTGTGCGAGTCCCAGACTGGGTACACTGACGATATATTTACCAGAGTACCTCTAATTTTAATAGTTCGGTTCTCTGCTGGCTAGATTAGGTGCTAAAGAGTTTTTGCACTGATCATGTACTGTAAATAACCCACCAAAATGTGCCTCTTCTCTTCTAGATATATAGCCCAGCTTGAGAAGCTGCCACTTTCCGGGTCGGTAGGTGTCCAAGTTCACATCTACAATGTATGAATGCCTGTGGCAGGAATGGCAAAACACTGCATGCAGTGGGCTCAAGTGTCAAGCTCTTGGACACTGTATGGCTCAAGTGAGCCTAATGGCCTTAAGGAGTAAGTTCATTTAAAAAAAAAATGCAATACATTTTTTTGCAGGTAAAAAATGTGCATTTACTATTTTTTTCTTTGAGCTTGGAAAGCATTGCACCAGCGATAAACAGATCACTAGTGCCATGCAGTACTTCTGCACACTGTCAGTGTATCTGTGTGCCCATACATCCCGTACAGTCAAGCAGATGCAGTCTACCAGGAAGACTCAATTAAGTACACTGCGCTCAGCAGTGCCATCGTAGTTCATTGAGAACTACAAGCTAACAACCACAAAGGATGTCGGGACTTGTAATTCATTCACAGAATTTTGTAAATAAATGACGCGGCCGATGGGTGAAGCCCTGCACAGCCGCGCTGTTTTTAAAAAATGACAGCTAGTATGGGGAACTTCTCCCCATACTGTTGTCACAAGGGGGGAAAGGAGAGGGCTGCGACTGCAGCTGTGGAAACGTTACATGTTCCACTCTAAACATTGGTGCAGCATGTAACCAAAGGTGAACTTATCCTTTAAACAGCAAGAAGGTTTAGAAAAAGCCTATACATTTGTTACGTTAATATAAAAATATATCATTTTTTTTGTTAACATTGCAGACCATACCACCGTTTCTCTAAGGTTACGGATATTTTAAATCCATGTGCTTAAAGAGAAAAAAAACATTTCCCTCTGGGTGATCCAAGTACATTGCAAGAATTGTAACAAACATTGTTGCAGATTCCCATCTTTTGTTATTCTGAAGAAATAGCGGTTTGTGTCCATGTGCAAAGTGAATCTGCATGGGAGTGGCTTTAGAATTATCACTCAGCTGCTGCACCTGCAGGTCTCTAATAAGGAAACTGGCAAGCTCTGCATCCCATTAGATGTGATTTCCCTTTGGGAGTATCTCACCAAAAATAAAATTTTTGTTGCAGGGAATGCCAAAAGTCTGACTTGTATCTTAATGCAGACTTCTGGGAAAATCAGTGAGCAGTAAGCCAATCACACAAGAAATTACATCTTCAGGGGGGGTGTTCTCTACACCATCTGCATACAGTATACCTCCAGGTAGCAATATTGCATTACATTTTACAGAAAATTACAGCGCTGCAGATTGAAAAGGAAAAGTAATTTTTATTAACATTCAACTAAAATATGACTTGTGACACAATTGTATACACTATTTGTTTTTATTTGCTAAATTTTCGCCCACAAAAGTAGAGTTACCCTTTATGTTTGTAGAAACACATACAACATGATCAACACACCTATGTACATGTTTACTTTAGTATGTTCATACACTGAATCTCATTTGTTATAGAGTGATTCTTCTTACCATGGTCAGGCCAGGTTGCATTTCCCGCACGAATAGCTTCTGTTTGTGTTGCAGTGAACTGGATGGTATTCCTAGAAACAATACAGATTACAGTATTGTTTGATCATGTCATTAAGGCTTGACATCAAAAAGGCTTTTTAGGGGTGCACTATATACAGGGTAATATTAGTAGATGACAATTTGCACAGTTAAATGTGTGTATTCTCAAGCTAGGTAACCCAAGTGGTCAAGAATAAGGAAAGCAAATCATAAGGACTCTCTCTCTCTCTCTGAAGTATACTAGCTGATCGTTTCTCTTCTTTACAGAAATAATAATGGTAGAAATAAGACACAACACATGATTTGGCCTGAGTTCACTCTCTAGGCTGGTCAGAAAGAGGTGTTTTGACTCTCTAGACTAGTTGAAGGACACCACCTATACTGGAATTGTGTCCTAACTAATTTGAGACACTGCAAAGGATGGCCTCTTAGAATTTCTAGATCGAAATACATCCGAGTTACTTCCTACTTCCTGTAACTGCTACAGTAACTATTTTATATACTGACAGTTTAATGAATACCGTTTAGGCTGGTTGTATGGGTATGGACCACGGTTAGGGATGACATGAGGTTCCACAATTAATGTGGGTGGCTCTTCTTGTACAGTTTCATCATCACTGTCTTCTTTTTCTTCTTTCCCTTTCCACCATAAACAGGAAATGTAATCCTAGCAAAAACAAACAGCCAAATTAAGGCATAATAAAAAGAATTGAACAAAAATAAAAAACAAACAAAAAAAAAAAAAAACTAAAAACCGTCTCAGAAAAATAGTGACCATTCCATTTAAAACTTGCACTGGAAACTATTGTAAGAAGAAATAAAGTTTGAATCTGACGGATTTCCAGGCACTGTCTTATAAATAATTCTCACAATTTGCCAAGAGCTCAGTGGTACCTGAATGGGGCTTTGTGCAAAGATGGATCTTCCACAGTCACTTTCACCTGGTACCCTGGGAAACAGGCCTTCAGATGGTCCAGACTCAAAAAAGTGTCATTAAAATCCAATGTTGGAATCTGATTGGGCATCTTTGAGTAATGTGCACTTCCTGGATCTCCATATCCTAAGATAATGTCATGTAGCCAATCGGGCACTACACAATCTGTATTCATCAGTTTTCGGATTGTCTCCAATACTGCCTGGAAAATACATTTTTAAAACAAGAGAGATCAGTAATAAGGACAGACAGAATAAAATGTAAAAGCAGTAAATTCAGGCTCATGCCACCACATGAAATGCTCAAAGAACATATAAAGCGGAACTAAACCTACCAACTGAACTGTTTTCTGAAACAGTTATATTTAAGGCATGCCATAAATGAGAACTGTCACAGCCGCCTGTGCTCTGCACTCAATGGTTAAGCCATCGAATGGCTGTTGTCATAGATGAGCACATGTGCAGCACCACAGCAACCGATGATCAAACAGAGGGCAAGATGGCAGATTTGTTGGCTGTAAAGAATAGGGGGTTTAGGTCTGCTTTAAAGTGGAAGTCCAGTCAAATACTAACTATACTTAAACCTGCTACCACCCCATTCTAAGCCTATTCTAACTACCCTGTAAAGGAAAGATGTCTACACTTACCTATTGCTGAGGCCTCTCCAGTCTGGTCACACGATCGACTGACAGCGCCGGCTTCAGTGTATTGAAGAGACAGCCGACAATGGATGCCCCATAATAAGCCTATGGGTGACGTAACTGCATAGGCTGTACAGCCATTGCCAGCTCTTCACTGAAATGATCATGTGACTGGAGTGCTCTCAGCATAGGTAAGTATAGACATCTTTCCTTTCACAGGGTAGTTAGAATAGGGATACAGTGGAGGTGGGATCAGGTTTAAGCATCGTTGGGATTTGACTGAACATCCACTTTAAGTATCTCACCAAAGGTAGAACTATTTTAAATATTTATTTTGCTTACAGCTGAATACGTTTTCTCTCTCATGTTCTGTCCCTGGTTTGTAGATGCGAAAAGACAGCTGTTTTTCCTATACTCTTTCAATCAAGAGACCAGGGGCGGACTGACCATTTGGAAACTCGGGCATTGGCCGAGGGCCTGGGGTCAGTAGGGGGCCCCATGAGATGCCCCTGGTACCTTTTTTATAGGCTTTTTTGAGTTTGGGCAAGGGCACAGGGGCCCCACGATCCCCTATTGCCGGGGGCCCCATGAGTTGTCAGTCCGCCCCTGGGGATGGGTTAGAACTCCTGTAGGGTTTTACTGCCATTAGAGGCTCTTTTGGAGAGATCACTTCACTTCTTCTCTGGTAAAATGGTTGTCCTTAGGACAGGAAGTGAAAGGAAATCCACAGACAAAAATAAAAAATGTCTTTTCAAATATAATTAGTGGTATTCTAGAACCTCATTATTGTCTGTTTCCCTGTTGCAGATTTTCCCTATTTTTTCCTATTGCCCGGGGGCCCCATGAGTTGTAAGTCCGCCCCTGCAAGAGACCCAATACTACCAATCATATCTGTTTTTGGGGGCTTTGCAAAGCAAGCCATTTTGCTATTTACCTAATTTAGATTAGTAGCCCTAATGGAATAATGAAAAAGTGTAGAATTATCTTGTATGGATGCTAACGGACACAACAGTAGAGAAGAAAATGCAACTTGTACACATGCAAGCAAAAGGAAACCCTCTTCCCAACCCCTACACAGCCATCTCTTCAGTACAGCAGACATGACAATCCATCCATTTGAAGGTTTATCCAAGATGCATAGTAGTTGGGGCAACAAGACATGAAACACAAATGGAATAGCGCACCAGATACTGCCCGTAAAATCTAATTACATATAAAGATATATTGCACAAACATAACCATCAGTAAAGAGTGCTTGACAGAAGTGTGAATGTAATCTTAGAAGTAAACACCGGTATCCCAGAGAGGCCAAATAAAAGGGAGCCAGAAGCATGGCACCACTAAAAACCTCACTGATGTCACAAGCTTTTACTGATGGTAATGGAATTTTTATATATCTTTTATATGCCTAATTAAAAGTTTACAAACAAACACTGTCTGCTGTGCTATGTCATTTGTTAAAGTAGAATTAAGCCCTGGTTCACACTGATGCGGTGCGGAATTCACAGCGTTTTCTGTGCAATTTCTGCACCGCATCAAAATCGCACCCAGTTCATGCGAACCACTGCGGGTGTGTATGTTAACACCACCACGAAAGCGGTTCACAAAACGCGGTGCGATGCGCAGAATTGGATCGCATAGGTTTGAATACCCATGCGATCAGATTCTAGTGCTGACCAAAGAAAGGGTCCTGCACATTTTTGGTGCGGGTGCTGTGCGATTAGAGCCATACAAAATGTATGTCTCCAATAGCACCGCACACAAACTGCATGTGATTTGCACAGGAATGCGGTGCGGTTCCTGTATGAATCACATGAGATATACTGCACCACATATACAGTCAGGTCCATAAATATTGGGACATCAACACAATTCTAACATTTGTGGCTCTATACACCACCACAATGGATTTGAAATGAAACGAACAAGATGTGCTTTAACTGCAGACTGCCAGCTTTAATTTGAGGGTATTTACATCCAAATCAGGTGAACAGTATAGGAATTACAACAGTTTGCATAAGTGCCTCCCACTTGTTAAGGGACCAAAAGTAATGGGACAATTGGCTTCTCAGCTGTTCCACGGCCAGGTGTGTGTTATTCCCTCATTATCCCAATTACAATGAGCAGATAAAAGGTCCAGAGTTCATTTCAAGTGTGCTATTTGCATTTGGAATCCGTTGCTGTCAACTCTCAAGATGAGATCCAAAGAGCTGTCACTATCAGTGAAGCAAGCCATCATTAGGCTGAAAAAACAAAACAAACCCATCAGAGATAGAAAAAACATTAGGCGTGGCCAAAACAACTGTTTGGAACATTCTTAAAAAGAAGGAACGCACCGATGAGCTCAGCAACACCAAAAGACCCGGAAGACCACGGAAAACAACTGTGGTGGATGACTGAAGAATTCTTTCCCTGGTGAAGAAAACGCCCTTCACAACAGTTGGCCAGATCAAGAACACTCTCCAGGAGGTAGGTGTATGTGTGTCAAAGTCAACAATCAAGAGAAGACTTCACCAGAGTGAATACAGAGGGTTCACCACAAGATGTAAACCATTGGTGAGCCTCAAAAACAGGAAGGCCAGATTAGAGTTTGCCAAACGACATCTAAAAAAGCCTTCACAGTTCTGGAACATCATCCTATAGACAGATGAGACCAAGATCAACTTGTACCAGAGTGATGGGAAGAGAAGAGTATGCAGAAGGAAAGGAACTGCTCATGATCCTAAGCATACCACCTCATCAGTGAAGCATGGTGGTGGTAGTGTCATGGCGTGGGCATGTATGGCTGCCAATGGAACTGGTTCGCTTGTATTTATTGAGGTGACTGCTGACAAAAGCAGCAGGATGAATTCTGAAGTGTTTCGGGCAATATTATCTGCTCATATTCAGCCAAATGCTTCAGAACTCATTGGACGCCGCTTCACAGTGCAGATGGACAATGACCCAAAGCATACTGTAAAAGCAACCAAAGAGTTTTTTTAAGGGAAAGAAGTGGAATGTTATGCAATGGCCAAGTCAATCACCTGACCTGAATCCGATTGAGCATGCATTTCACTTGCTGAAGACAAAACTGAAGGGAAAATGCCCCAAGAACAAGCAGGAACTGAAGACAGTTGCAGTAGAGGCCTGGCAGAGCATTACCAGGAATGAAACCCAGCGTCTGGTGATGTCTATGCGTTCCAGACTTCAGGTTGTAATTGACTGCAAAGGATTTGCAACCAAGTATTAAAAAGTGAAAGTTTGATTTATGATTATTATTCTGTCCCATTACTTTTGGTTCCTTAACAAGTGGGAGGCACATATGCAAACTGTTGTAATTCCTACACCGTTCACCTGATTTGGATGTAAATACCCTAAAATTCAAGCTGACAGTCTGCAGTTAAAGCACATCTTGTTTGTTTCAGTTCAAATCCATTGTGGTGGTGTATAGAGCCAAAAATGTCCCAATATTTATGGACCTGGCTGTATGTGAACCCAGGCTTAAAGTCAAGAATGCAACTTGTCCACATCTAAAAGCATATAATACCTCTTTGTTACTGGTATTCACACCCAAAGATATTGGTATCATTCTTAATTATGATGTCACCAGCGCATGCATATTTTAACACACATTCACAGCATCCTGACTGTGCCATGATGTGCAGAGTGCCTATGCTGGCATGATGTTATTAACTAAACCTGGTGCAGGTGCCCATTTTTGAAAGTCTGTTTACCTCCTGAAACCCCATGTGACTACTTCCATTACAGGGGATTGGAAATGCTGTGAAAGGGCTATCTCTTAGTAACTGAAGCATACCTGCTGTGGTGGAGGCACTGCTTAAGCTGGATACATCAGAATACTTGAAGAGGTCATGTTGCCTTATGCTGAAGAGGAAATTCCCTTGAAATGGGTGTTTCAACACGACAATGACCCCAAAACAAACCAGTAAGCAAACAGCATCTTGGTTCAAGGCCAACAAGATTAACCACTTGCCCTCCAGGAAAGGGGGTAAACCCTCTGACCAGGCCATTTTTTTGAGTTACAGAGCTGCGTTACTTTAATGGACAATTGCGCAGTCATGCAACGTAGTGCATAAATGAAATCTATGTCCTTTTTTTACCCCACAAAGAGAGTTTTCCTTTGGTGGTATTTGATCACCTCTGTGGTTTTAATTTTTTGTGCTATTAACAAAAAAAGACTGACAATTTTTGAAAAAACAAAAAAAACAACAATATTTTTGATGTTTTGCTATAAAAATATATCCAATAAAAAAAAAAATTTAAAGTATCAAATTTCTTTATAAATTTAGGCCAAAATGTATTCTGCTATGTCTGCTCAAAAAAAAAAAAAAAAAAAAAATCACAATATGTGTAAATTAATTGGTTTTACATGAACGTTTATAGCGTCTACAAATGGCGGTATAGATACTGTATTTTTTTTTTATACTGGTAATGGCGGCAATCAGCAACCTATAGCGGGACTGTAGGACTGTAGTGGGCATTCGGACACTGGGTGGGAACTGACTGCCACTGACATCCTCAGTGACACTAATACAGTGATCAGTGTTAATAAAAAGCACTGA